TTTATTTATTTATTTATTTTTAGTTTTATTCCACATTGTTCTCCTACTATTTAAACGTTTTAGTAGAGAATAATTTAGCCTATACCATGCACTTCTATTGTTTTCCCATCTCTGAGACTTTGCTCATATAGGCCCTCTTCTTATGAATGCCCGTCCCTCGTCACATTTCTGCATGGCCCAGGTTAATATTTTACCTTTGCTGAGAAAATTTTCCTGATGCTCTCCATCTTGAAATAAGCTTTGAATATCCAGAGTAGTTTAGCTTTTCTTATACCATTTATATTTATTTTTCACTTTGTGTTACTATTTTTACTTGGTAACATATCTTTAACCTTCTTCCTAATGAAAACCACCTAAGGACAGGTCAAAAATACCTTTGTGACTTCTCTGGAATCTATCACATAGTCATTCAAACGGTAGGCAATGAATATATTTGTTGAATGATAAATGGATGGATGAATGAAGATGGCATCTCTGATTTCTGACATACGGAAAACTGGCTAGGAACTTAATGTTTTAAAAAAGATTTATATAATTTCTTTATATGTGTAATTTATTCACCCCAATAGCCTTTTTTTTTTTAAGTTTTAGTAAAAACATGTAATTACATGCCTTGATATAGTGTTTTTAAAAATCATCTTGCTAAGTACTGAGGGAAACCTTTCAATCTGGAGAATTCACTCTTTAGCTTTGGAAAATAGTCTCATCTCTTTAGTAATTTCCTCTCCTACATATTTTCTGTTCTCTTGGGAACACAGTCTTGTAAGTCAGAGTTGACACTTTGGGAGTAAACCTCTACATTTCTACATTTTCTTTCATATTTTCTCTCTCCTACTTTTTGAAAGATTTCCTCAACCTTGTCTTCTGAACTTTTGTTCATCTTTTTAAATTTTGGAAATATTATTTCCAAGATGTCTTTTTAAAAACAAAAAAACCTCCCTTCCCCTTCCACCCATGGTAACCTTCAAATAATGATTCTATGTGTTCTGTTGTGTAAACTTTTCTTGACATTTTATAGTAGTGGCCTCATACACTGTATTTGCTCTTTTGTGATTGGCTAATTTCACTCAGCATAATGTCATCTAGGTTCATCCAGATAATGAAGTATTTCTCAGATTCATTGTTATTCCTTAAGGTTGCATAATATTCCAGTGTGTATGTACCATAGTTTATCTGTTTGTCCGTGGGTGGAAACTTAGGTTGTTTCCATCGCTTTGCTATTGTGACTAATGCTGCTATGAACATGGGTGTGCATATATTTGTTCATGTCATGGCTCTTATTTCTCTAGAATATATATCTAGTAGTGACATTGTGGGATCATATGGTATTTCTATGTTTAACTTTTTAAGAAGTGGCATATCATTTTCCACAGTGGTTGTACCATTTTCAGTCCCACCAGCAGTGAATGAGGGTTTTTTTGGTTTTGTTTTGTTTTGAACTTTGCTATTAATGCTAGGGTGAAATGACACTTCATTGTACTTCTGACTTGCATCTCTCTAATGGCTAATGATTGTGAGCATTTCATGTGTTTGTTAGATGCCTGACTGGTCTTTTTAATAGTATCTATTTCTTGTGTTATTACTATCTTATGCAATATCACATGCAAGTAAGATCTTACTCAAGATAATTCAAAAACGGTTGCGACAGTATACTGATAGGAAACTTCCAGAAATGCAAACTAGATTCAGAAAATGACGTGGAACAAGGGATAACATTGCTAATGTCAGATCGATCTTGGATGTAAGCAAAGAATGCCAGAAAGATGTTTACTTGTGTTTTATTGACTAAGCAAAAACATTCGATTGTGTGGATCATAACAAATTATGAATGACATTGAGAAGAATGGGAATTCCAGAACCCTTAATTGTGCTCATGAGGAACCTGTACATAGACCAGGAGGCTGTTGTTCAAACAAAACAAGGGAGCACTGCATGGTTTAAAATCAGGAAAGGAGTGTGTCAAGGTTGTATACTTTCACCATACTTATTCAATCAGTATGCTGAGCAAATAATCTGAGAAGCTGGACTTCATGAAGAAGAACGTGGCATCAGGTTTGAAGGAAGGCTCATTAACCTGAGATATGCAGACGACACAACTTTGCTTGCTGAAAGTAAGGATAACTTGAAGCACTTATTGATGAAGATTGAAGACTACAGTCTGCAACATGGATTATATCTCAATATAAAGAAAACAAAAATCATCACAACTGAGCCAATAAGCAGCATCATGATAAATGGAGAAAAGATTGAAGTTGTCAAAGAATATTACTTGATTCTACAATCAATACCAATGGAAGCAGCAGTCAAGACATCAAAGATGTATTGCATTGGGCAAATCTGCTGCAAAAGACCTCTTTCAAGTGCTGAAGAGCAAAGATATCTCCTTGACGATAAAGGTGCGCCTAACCCAAGTCATGGTATTTTTAATCGCCTCATATATATGTGAGAGCTGGACAACAAATAAGGAAGACTTAAGAAGAGTTGATGCTTTTGCATTGTGATGTTGGCAAAGAATGCCGAGAGTACCGTGGACTGCTAAAATAACTAACAAGTCGTCCTGGAAGAAGAACAGCCAGAATACCCCTTGGCAGTGAGAATGGCCAGACTTTGTCTCCCCTACTTTGGTCATATTGTCAGAAAGGACCATTGCCTGGAGAAGGATATCATGCTTGGTAAAGTGGAGCGTCAATGAAAAAGGTGAAGGCCCTCAACAAGATGGATTGACACTGGCTGCAACTATGGGCTCAGGTGTAGCAAGGACCTTGGGGATGGCACAAGACTGCGCAGTGCTTTGTTCTATTGTACATAAGGTCACTGTGAGTCGGAGACTAGTTGATGGCACCTAAAAACAACATTGAAATTTTCTTCTATTTCCTATGTTACCTCTGGCTAAGGCTTTAAATAGCCTTATCTGTTATCTTGGTGTTGGTCTCATTTGCATTGAAGCCATGGCTCTTAGTTTCCTAAAGTTGCCGTAAGAGAAATACAAGTGGGTGTCTTTGAAGAACAGAAATTAATTTTTTCACAAGTCAGAGCATTGGCTATAGGTGAAGAGTCTCTCTTGTTGGCTCTAGGAGAGATCCTTGTCTCTTTCAGATGCAGTACCCCAGCGTTCCTTGGCTCCTTGGCTATCTTCATGTGGAATCTATCTTTCCCATTTGTGCTTGCTCATCTCTGTGTCTATGTTGCTCTTTCTATCACTCAAAAGTAATTAGGTTTAAGACACACCCTACACTGATGTGGCCTCATTAATATAACAAAGAAAATACTATTCCCAAATGGGATTACATCTGTAGTTTAAAATTCCAACACATATTTTGGGGGGACATGATTCAACCCATCATAGCATGCTACATGTTAAAAATGGGAACCTTGGTGCATGGAAAAGCTGTCTGGGAACTCTGTATATGAGAGTAAGTGTATGTTTTCTGTTTCTTGTTCAGCCTTTTGGTTAACTCCCTCTGTTTTCAGTTCCTCATTCACCCTTTCCTTTGCCATCCCTGGCATCCATATATGAGCATCAGTGCTCCAAGCCTGAGTTTAATTCTGCTGCATCATTTACCACTCTCTTCCATCTTCCAGAATTTTGTTGATATCGCTCACTCTCTGATAGTCTCCTTGCTCCTATGGTTGTCACAAGCTTATATGTTCTTTTTATCCCTTTACTATCATTTTGGTAGTCTTGGGAAGGAGAGGAGATAAATACATGTATTCAATTTGCCATCTTTCACCAGTATGTGTACTTAATTTTTAAAAGTGTTTGTGTTACAAACTTCCTGAAGGTAAGTTTGGTCTTGTGACGAGTGTGAACTGTCTACCTAGAAGATGAAAGATATGATCTATATATGATTATGGGAGTAAAGTTCAGACAACCCTGGGTAGTTTTAAAGTTTCCCAGTGAGTAATCTGGACAAAGGGAAAGTACTTAAGATCTGCAGAGAGCAGTATGAGATAAACTCTCTCTTCCCAACTTCAGAAGCCTGATTACTTGTTTACAACTGGGATATGATTAAAAGGTCAAATAACTAAAGAAATTCTACCAACCACTTGTAGAGTTAGTTTTCATTCTGCTGCCAATGTCTGCTCCTGTGTGTGGTTGAACTTCCCGTGGTCTCCAGATTCCCAGTGCCTGAAAAAGAACAGAGCAGCAGCATCACTCACGCAGGCCCCTCCTGAGTCCCACTCACTCACAAAGAATTTCCCCTTTGAGCTACCATGACATTGGCTGGTTACTCATGCCATAGATTCCTCAGGATTGGCTGGCACTGCAAATAAAACACTGTTTGCCCATAATCAAGTTGATAAGGGACAACATAAATGCACACAGTTCCTGTTCTCAGAATATAACATGTAGTGTTTGCTCTCTTCCTTCCTCCTAACACGTTCACGTAAGATCTGGAAGAAACACTGTCTCTGTCCAAAAGAGAATATATTTAAAGAAGAAGAAGAAAAACCTTAAATGGGTCTATTGAGTTCTAAAAGCTCCAGAGTCAAGCAAGTTCAGATTCTTCTCCTGGGACTTGATTCAGCGGGGAAGTCTACTCTGCTTTATAAATTAAAGCTTGCTCAGGGCATTGCAACACTCCCAACAATAGGCTTCAATGTGGAGATGATCGAGCTGGAGAAGAATCTTTTGCTCACTGTCTGGGACATTGGTGGACAGGAAACAATGAGAACCGTTTGGGATCATTACTGTGAGGACACTGATGGGCTCGTGTATGTCGTGGATAGCACAGACAAACAGCGACTGGAAGACTCCAGGAAAGAGTTTGAACACATTTTGAAGAATGAACACATTAAAAACGTGCCTGTTGTCCTATTAGCCAACAAACAAGACGTACCTGGAGCTCTGACCGCCGAGGACATCACTAGAATATTCAAAGTGAAGAAGCTCTGCAGTGACCGGAACTGGTATGTGCAACCCTGCTGTGCCATCACGGGGGAAGGGCTGGTGGAGGGCTTCAAGAAGTTAACTGCATTTGTGAAAAGCCACACGAAATCAAGAGGAGACATTCTTCAAGCAGAACTGAGGCTGTGAAAAGGACCACACAGTGAAAGAGACACTGATGAAGCTGATAGGGTACTTTTTCTTTCTTAACATGCAGGTGAGAAAAGCAAGTTACTGTGTTCTTATATTGGAAAACTTTTCCAGAGATACTATTTCTTCTAAATTCAGTTGAAGGACTCAGAATAATGTCTAGATGATACTTATTTTTAGTCAGGCACTTTAGGAAACTGTGTGGTAATGATGATTGGGAAATAAAAATACTATAAATGTGTGCAAAATTCTAACATGTTGGATGATTCAGAGTAATCAGATTTGGGGTCAAGTAAATGATTGCTTTATTAATTTTATATAACTATGAGAGCAAAGTTTAAGCAAACTGCTAACAGAATCAGAAGTCTTTCAGACTGTGCTTAGTTGATACAGGTACTGAATTTCCACCATCTCCTATGTCATAGCTGAGTGGTGTGAAAAATGAACTTTAAATATGGAAAGGAAAAAGTTTGATGCTAACATTTTATAAACCTCCACTACCAAAATAAAGCTCGTCATCTGGATTTCTGCCAGCTCTTTGAAATCTATTGGTGGGAAGTTCCTGCAGTGACTCTTAATCAGTGAACTCTAGGTTGTTTATTGCTTACATGTTGTATTCTCCCATAGAGAGAAGTTTATATCTTAAATTTTTGGAGATTAGGGTAGCTTCTCAGGGGTGTAAAACAGAGTCTGGGCATAGAGCTCAGTTCTAGCCTGCAGCCCCAAGCCCTGCTTCAGTGGAATTTAGCATAGCAGTCATTACTTAGAACTTTCTATACTGCTCACTGTACTGATTAAACAGGAACAAAGACCAGACTTTGCTCTGAGACCTTGCACAGGAGGAAATGACATAAAGCTAGTAGTAAGATAGGGCAATATGTGTGTTCTGGTTACCTAGTGCCACTCTGACAAGAATATACTACCACAAAAGGGATGGCCTTAACAAACAAGAGTTTATTCTTGCAGTCTGGAGGCTTTAAGTCCAAGTACAAAGAGCCAGGCTCTAGGGACTGGGTGAAAACTCCTCAACCTTGGAGTCCAGCTCTGCCTCCTTCTCCTGGCCCACTGCAGCTAGAGGCATTTCTTCACTCAGACAGCTGCTGGCTGCTGAGGCTGAGAAGCACCAAGGTTGACAAGTAAAAAGGCACAGTACCGATGTTACCAAACCACACGGCAGGCCATTTACTTAAGTCCATTTTAAGTCCCAAGGTCTGCAGAGCGTAGCAGGCTGCTGAGCAATGACATGGCTACATGCAGGCTCCAAGTGTGCCATAGGCTAGAGACCATTCCCAAAGCTGCTGCTTATATATGGGAAGCAGACCACATCCCCAAAGGCAGCTACTCAGCTGCTTGTGGTAGATCCCACCATGGAGTTGATTGCCAGTCTCATCATGGGGAATAAATACCACCAGCTGCCCAGCCACTCAGCCAGGCCTAGCCAAGTTGACACACAAACATAACTACCACAATGTGCTTTGTGCTTTAACAGGAGAGACTCTGATGTGGGGAATCAGGAAGTGCTTCATGCAAGAGGTGGTGTTTAAGAGGTCCCCCAACTCCCAGGGAAGTTCTTATTACTAGGAGATTCAAGGGGTTGTGGGGGAGGGAAGGAGGAGAGGAACTGGGAATGAATTGGAATTCCCCTAATTGTCTCAGAACTCCCAGGGAGGCCTTGGTATTAACAGATGACACTCTTTCATCCTACCCCACCTCCAGAAAGGCTCCTTTAGTCTAGAAGCCTCCATAGCAGCCCCCCTGAACACCAAATCTTAAGGTTGCAGAGGAAAATAAAGGTACAGTAAATAAGGGTGTGAGGGCAGTGGCGGTTCAGTGATAGAACTCTTGCCTTCTGTGTGGGAGACCTGGGTTCAATGCCCTGCCAATGTACCTAAAGCACAGCCACCACTGATCAAGGTATCGCTACAGAGGCTTGAGTGTTGCTACGATGCTGAACAGGTTTCCGTGGTGCTTCCAGACTAAGAAGACTAGGAAGAAAGCCCTTGCGATCTACTGTTGAAAAATCAACCAGTGGAAACCCTGTGGATCACAATGGTCTGATGACATTGTGCCTGGAGTTGCCATCAGTCGGGGGCAACTAGACTGCAGCTAACCACATTACAAACAAGGGCCCCAGCTCTGAATTCCTTTCAGATCTTCTTCTCTCAACCATTATTTGTTCAGCAAAGATCTGTACCTACTTCTGTGCTACACAGCAGGGATTCAAGCAAGAAGGTAGGCGTACACAGAATAGTTACTTTAGTTGAATACTAGTGGGTACAGGTGTTGTACTAAGCACTTTCATACATCTCTAATTTTCAAAACTGCCATGAAAAAGAAATGTTATTATCTCAGTTTTACAGATGAGGGTACTGAGGCTAAACAAGGTCAAACAACAACCATCACAAAAACATACTTGGTATTTTAACTGAGGAGTGTCAGAGTTGAGATTCAAACTCAGGTGTATCTGCAACCCCAAGGCTGTACTGTCAATTGCCTTATACACAAGGTATGTTCATGTCATCAACCCAAACTTAGAACCTACAGTTAAGACTAAACCCAGGGTGACATATATTACTTGTATAATGTTGTTGTTGTTGTTGTTATGTGCCATCGAGTTGGACCCAACTCATAGCGACCCCCCTTGGGTTTCCGAGACAGTATCACTACGGAAGTAGATTGTCCAACCTTCCTTCCAAGGAGTGCCTGGTGGGTTTGAACCACCAGCCTTCTGGTTAGCAGTCAAGTTCTTTGGGCACTACACTACCAGAGCTCCTACTTTTATAATACAAAGGTTATTTGAAAAAATAAATGAAGCAGAATTAATTAAATGCAAAAACAGAGACAGAGGAAACATGCTTGATGACTGGCAAAAAGAGAGAGTTCGTGTTTTCAGGAAGATCTCAGAGGCGGCAATGTTAAATGCTTCTTAGCAGAGTTTTTTCTGAGTTTCACAAAGTGATTGATATCTCTTTAAAAAAGGCATCTTCTCTTACTATTTTTCCTATGTGTGTTTTACTGAATTTTCCTTAATCTTAAAAAGAGGAGTCACTATATTATTTCTATAGAAAACATCTTTATAAAGAATGTCTCCTTGTGTTCCTAACTATTTTGATGATTGGAATTAAGTCAAGCCCCTTGTGGTTCAGTCTAGCATCATGGGAAATTAAGAGGAAATAGTTTGTAAAAAACAGTGAAAACAATTAAAATCTCTTAAGAAAGTCCCTGGGTGTGTGTGCTGGGTGAGATGGCAGATACATTCTTAATGCAGAGTGAAAAACTTACAAAGTAGGCTTTTCCTATCTTTGTCACTTCAACATCTCCCCCAAATAGAGCAGCTATCTCTCAAATCTCTGCTAATATCATCCCAGAAACATGCATACTCTTACACTTTCTCCCTTTTCATGCCTGGGATCCAATCTACTATCAGTCACTTGCTTTCTTTTCAATGTGTTACCAGTCTTTCCTTTCTTTGTCTCCTGTTCACCCTGTGCTCATCTCCACCACCCAAGCCACATAAACCTACACACTCTTTACCCTGATCGAATGATAAAGCCCAAAACTGGAGAAAGGGAGAGAAACTGACTGGATAATGGTGAAATACTCCTTAGCAGGTGAAAGGAAAAAAGAAAGAGGCTGTGCATACTCATGCCTTGATACTTACTATTGACATACATTTTATTCTCTATCCTTTATCTGTAACAAGGTAAAATGACTTTTTTTTTTTTATTGTGGAAAAATAGCTATACATAAAATTTGCCATTTTATAATTTTTAAGTGTATAATTCATTGACATTATATTGCTCATGTTATGCAACTATCACCTCTTTTATTTCCAAACATTTTCCTTACCCCAAATAGAAACTCTGAACCCATTTAGCAACAACTCTCTATTTCACCTTCCCCCCAGACCCTGTCAACACTAATAACTATTTGTCAATTCTAAATATCTCATTAAATGGCATCTCACTATATCTGTCTTTTCTCATCTGGCTTATTTCGCTCAGTATGTTTTCAGGGTTCATCCATGTGGAGGCATGTATCAGAGCTTCATTTCTCTTTATGACTGAATAATATTCCACTGTACGTACATGAGGGAGATCTGGTGGCATAGTGCCTAAGGCATTTGACTGCTTACCAGAAGGCTGGCCGTTCAAACCCACCAGCCACTCCTCAGAAGGAAAACTAGGCAATCTACTTCTATAGAGATATTGCCTCAGAAACCCAAGGAGGGGTCGCTATGAGTCCAATCGACTGGACAGCAGTATGTTTAGTTTGTATGTATATGAAAGAGCTCTGGTGGCATACTGGGTAAGGCATTTGGCTGCTAACCCCAAGGTCGGCAGTTCAAATGCATCAGCTGCTCTGTGAGAGGAAAATGAAGCAGTCTACTCTCATAAAGATTTACAGCCTTAGAAACTCAATGGACGTCACTATGAGTTGTAATCGACTAGATGGCAGTGGGTTTGAGATATGTATATGAGCCATAGTTGCTCAGTGATCATGTGCTTGGCTGTTAACTGAATGGTTAGTGGTTTCAGCCCACTGGCTGCTCCATGGGAGAAAAATGTAGCAATCTGCTTCTGTAAAAATTATAGCCCTGGAAACTCTTGGGACAGTTCTACTCTGTCCTATAGGGTTGCTATGAGTTGAACTCGACCAGATGGCAACAAGTTTGGTTTTGGTTTGTATATGTATACCAGAAAAAAACAAACTCACTGCCGTCAAGTCGGATCCAACTCATAGCAACCCCTCCTTAGGTTTCTGAGGTAGTATCACTATGGAAGTGCCCAGTCTTCCTTCTGAGGAGTGGCTGGTGGGTTTGAACCTCCAGCCTTCTAGTTAGCAGTCAAATGCATTAGGCACTACGCCACCAGAGCTCCTTTGTACATATATATTACATTTTATTTGTTCATCCATCTGGTGATGGACATTTAGGTTGTTTTCATCTTTTGGTTATTGTGAATAATGATGCAATGAATACTAATGTACCTG